CCCTGGGCTGGTCACAGCCCCAGAACAACCCCCATGGGACAAGGACACCATTGGAGCCCTTGGGCTGGAGTGCCAGGCCAGGGGCGGAGTGCCACAGAGCAGCTGGCAGCACCCCTGCACCCAGGCATGGCGTGACTGCACCCCTCTCCCTCAGCATGCACACTTCATGCTTGAACCACTGGCCTAACGATTTCAGGTTTTTCCCCATTTTCCTGTATTATTATTTGTCGTTGTTCCTGTTGCAGTTCAGTGACCATGAATTATTGAACGTCTGCTTGCTCAGTAACTCTTTACTTCCACCTCGGCACACTGCTGCCGTGCCGCCTGTGTGGGACGGCTGCCAGCTCCTGCCCCCGGCCCCTCCTGCTGCCCTGGGACCCCTCACCACGCTCAGCACATGGCAGGGCCCCACACGCTGCCAGGGCTGCGGGCAAGGGGCCACACAGGCTCTGTGTCCAGCGAGGGCCCTTTCTCTGGTTCCACTACAGCAGTCCAAGAGCTCTCAGCCACGGGACCCCTGGCTGGGACATGGGATGCACTGGGATGTACTGGCATGCACTGGGAGGGTTTGCAGAGAGTGCTCTTGGGGCAGCATTCACAGGCATGAGGGGATTTGCCCAGCACCCATCCCTGCTGTCAAGAACTCTGTGCCCATCCATGGGCAGGGACATGTTGGTGATCATTGTGCTGCCCTGGTGGTGGTGGCAGCACAGGGGTTGGAGCCGTGGCTGAGCCATGGTGTTGGCAAGAGTGAGAAGGCTTCTGGGGGGTGACAGTGCCTGTCCAGGCCACCAAGGCACAGGGAGGGCTCAGGCAGAGCCTGCTGATGTTCCAGAGCTGCTCTGGGCAATGGCGCAAGCATTGGAGATGAGCAAGGGAGGCTCTTGTCAGAGCCCAGCCCAATCCTGGGGTGGGAGGACTGGGCTTTCCCAGGATGGCAGAACACGTCCCTGCCCTGTGCCATACTCAGGATGCATTTGCCAGGGACAGGGGGAATCCCGAGGTCTAACAGGCCTTGGAAGTGGCCCTGTGGTGGGTGTGAGGACACAGGTATGGTCTGTGCCAGTGGAAGGCACTCCTGGCAGTGCTGGGGCAGCCAGGATGGCTGTGGTAGGAGTGGCTGCCCTTGCAGAGCCATCGCTTTCCCTGAGCTGCTTTTGTACTTGGGGCAGAGTTGAAAAATCTCTGCTGGTATTGTGGGATTTCACAGACATGAAGGATAAAGTCTCTGAACTCCCACAGCTGCATTTTCTGAGCACTGCAACACTCCGATACCTCTGAACTGCTATTAAGCACCTGGTGCTGGTTTGTCTTTGCAACTGTGTCCCCTAAATAAATCCTTTCCCCATGCTGAGCCATGCTAATGGCCTATTGTTAAATGGCCAGCCAGTTGACTGTAAGCTGAAGTCATTATTTTTTCCACTCATCACTGGGAAAAAATCTCTCTCCAGCATCCATCTTGCAGGATAAGACTGCAACTTGGAAGCTGCAAGTCCCTGTGCAGGGCACATGCCCCTTGCCCTGAAGCATCTGATGGTGGCCACTCAGGCCCCTGCAGGGCTCCTCACAGGAAGCAGTGAGGGTTTGTCATTTTGAGCTGGATGAGGCCCCTCTCTGGTGGGACACGATGGCACCAGGGCAGGGGAGCAGCGTGGCAGCAGCTTCTCCATCAGGATGGGCTGGCAGCACCCACAGGAACCTTCGGGCCCCTCAGACTATCCTGGACCCACCAGCGCCTCTGGCCTCCTGTTGTGAGCCTGGGCAATCACTGCCTGGTTCTGGGCTGCTGGGGAGCTGGCCCTGGCACACGTGTGTGCCTGGCAGTGCCTCCCACGCGTCCCACCCCGGCTGCTCCCGGGCACCAGCGCCTGTCTCTGTCTGCTGCCATCTCGCACGTAAGTGGCTCCCTGGGAGACTTGCTCCATTTTTTTCCTTTAACCTTGAAATGCAATTTCCTCCCCAAAATATCCTTTTTCCTGTAAACAACATCTCTTTAGTGAGATTACAGCAGAAATCCCTGAGCTCCCAGGTCCCGGGCGCTTTATCACCTGGTGAGCCCCATCCGTCACGGCCACGCGTGGGTTCTCAGCACCCCGCCCTTGCCAATGGGTGATGGTCTTTTCATCATTTTTACAGATTTATTTTACAATCATTTAATTTCATCCTCAGCCCTGGGAAGACGAATTGGCCCCTGATGTGACTGGGAATTCAGAGCCAGTCTCATAAATTTGCCACCTCTACACAAAGCTCTGTTTGGAGTTCCTGATGCAGCCGTGAGCGAGTCCTTAAACAAGGGGGGACAAAGGGGCTGCAAATCGCGTGTGTGGCAGGGGGATGTGGTGCCAGTGATTCTCCCTGAGCCTCAGCCTGACTTGCTGGCTCTGGGTGGCCACAGGGCACAAAGGGCATAGGGCACAGGGCTGGGAAGGGGCAGACAGGGCTCTGCAGGCTGCCCCAGCATGGCCCATGTGGCACTAGGTGCTGCCAGTGCTGCACTGCCAGGATGCCATCTGCCCACATGGGCACTGCTGCACAGGTGCCCTGCAGTGGAGAGTGCCCAAGACCCATCTCTGCCAGCACATGCCTCACTTCCTGACTCACTGGAGCCAGTGCTGTGCCAGGCACAGGCGTCAGGGTGGTGCCACCAGCTCTGCCACCAAGCTCTGCACATTCCTGCACATCTGTGCTTGACACATCTGGGACTTGCTGTGCTTTTGCTGCGAGAGGCTTGCCAATGTAATTAAACTCGAGTGACTCCCCTGCCCCCAGGCACAGCCCCTCATTTCCCTTTGATTTATTATGTCTTCTTAATTTATTTAAATGAGCCTCGGTGTTTGCACAGGCTCGGAGGGGGCTGGCTGGAGCTCTAATTGCTGCAGTGAAGGGAAGGCGGCTGGAGGGCTCAGGGGATCTCTGCAGGGGTGTCTGCTGTGGGGTAGGGGGCTGTGGCCAGACCTCCAGCAGAGCCCCAGGCATGGGAAGTGCCTTTAGAGCAAAGCTTCCTGCACATTGGTGGTGGTTTGGCCACTGGTGCTGGGGCTGTGCCAGTGCCTGGGGATCTGCCTCAGAGGGGCTCTGTAGGAAAGGCTGGTCATCTTTTGGAGCTGGCATAGGGGCATCTCCCTAGAGCATTGCAGGGCACTGTCTGCCCTGGCTCTGAGCTGGCAAAGGCAGGGGATTGAGAAGCCCAGCAGGGAACCTCTGCTCAGCCACACACCTGAAGTGTACAGGGGCTGGGATGCTGCCAGATCTCACTGTAGCTCCTGGCCAGGTGGGAGAAGTGCCTGGGACCACAGGGGAGCCCATGGCACAGCTCCAAGAGGTCAGTATGTGCTTGAGGCCAACAGAAGTTCCTCTCACTCCCTCCATCCATTCCTCCTGCCTCTTCATGGCCCTACCTCCCAGCTCAGGCTGAGCAGACAGCCTGAGCCTCCTGCCTGCCCATGCCCCGTGCCTGCCCCATGCCTGTGTGGCCTCATGCCCGGCTGGCCCCCACGCCGCCGGCCCTGCTTGTGTTTGCACAGCTGATTGTTCCCGTGCTCAGCATGCTGCCTTGCACTTGTCCCTGTTGAATTTCATCCTATTTTTTCCAGTCCATTTCTCCAATTTGTCAAGATCATTTTGAATTCTAATCCTGTCCTCCAAGATACTTGTAGTCCCTCCCAGCTTCGTGTCATCTGCAAATTTAATAAGCACTTTCTCTATTCCATCATCCAGGTCCTTAATGAAAACATTGAGCAAACCAGAACCAGGGCAAGCCCTTCGCCATCCGAGGAGCCTGACACATGCTGTGCTCACCATGCTCTGCCCAAATGGGATGGGAAAGGGTACCAGAGCTTTGCCATGTTGGCTGAGCCTCACTGCACCCCCAGCTCACTTGGGACCTCTCTTCTTTGCTGCCCTGGAGCAGTGCTGGCTCCATGGTGTGCTGCCAGTATCAGGGGTGCTGGCGCTGGGATGAGGCTGGAGGGGACAGGGTTCATCTCCAGGACGGCTCCAGTCCTGGAGATGAACCCTGACTGGCACAGTGCAAAGGCCTGGGAGCAGCTCCATGTGACCCCAGTGGTCAGTGTGAGCACAACTGGGATGAGGCTGGAGGAGACAGGGTTCCTCTCCAGGACGGCTCCAGCTTGAGCTGCCACTGACTGGCACAGTGCAAAGGCCTGGGAGCAGCTCCATGTGACCCCAGTGGTCAGTGTGAGCACAGGGGCAGCAGAGCAGCCCCTGATGGGGCCATCCTCCCCCCTCACAGCTGCCCACCTCCTCCTCCACCTGGTGAGGCTCTGCCCAGCCACATTATCTCCCCATTCTGAGGCTGCTCCTTTTGGGCTGGGACTGCTCCTGGGGCTGTATGGCAAGGATCTGGAACCAGCCCCAACCTGGAGCCATCTCGTGTGCCACCTCTGGCTACAGCCATCTCTTTTCTTTAATTGATTGTAGAAAGCAATTTACAAAATACAAACTTCTGCTTGTGCCAAGCCCTGCGTGTCCAGGCAAAGCCTAATTTCACAGAAAAATTTCAAGTGCAATGAATGGCTTTTCCCAGCACCAGTCCACGTCCAAGCCAAGAGCTTTGCAGTCTGCATAAGCTGTGCTGAGCAGCCCAGAAATGGCTTTGCTCTGCCCTGTGGAGCATGCAGCTCCCTGGGCTGGCTGTCACAATAGCCAGGGTAGCTCTGCCAGCACTCACTTTTGGGCTGGTGCTGCCCAGGTTGGCATGGCTGTGTGGGACCACCATGGCTGCAGCCCAGTCTGCAAAGAGCCACAAGCCCCAGCTCTCTGTGCAGCCAGCTGGATGATTCAGGGATCCTGCGTGGTCCGTGTGGCCATCAGGAAGGTGTCCCAGCAGGGCTGGCCAGAGCTGCAGTGATGGGGGCTCAGCTGAGAGATGATGTTCCAGGGCTCTGGCTCTTTTCGTGTCAAAGTCGTAATTTCATGGTCAGGGTCTAGGAGGCTTATACACACAGATGCATTAATTCTGCATTTAGTGATACAGGAATAATTGGTGTCACATCAATTAGATCGGTTCTTGGATACTGCAGTGATAAGTGCTGTGCAAAGGCCTCTGGGCTGCAGGATGTGAGGAGTTCCAGCAGAGAGCGAGCCTGGTGGGGCTGGCAGCAGCAGGCAGAGCAGGGCTGGCAGGGACATTGGGTGCTGAGAGAGTGGTGGAGCATCCAGCACTCTTGGCCTTTGCAGAACAGCAAGGCCTGGGGCTCTCACAGTGATCAGTGCCTGAGGCTGCTGCACAGCCTGGGGGTGCAGGCTTGGGGAGGAGCTGGCAACTTGGCAAACCTCTGAGCCTGGTGTCCCAGTCCCACCAAGGTGATCCTCTGTGTCAAGGACCTTGTGTCAAGGCACTTGCCAGGTGCCTGGTTCAGTACCATCACCTGTATCCCCCATCCCTGTGGAATGGCTTTGCACACATGGTGGGTTTGCCAGCTTGCTGCTGCCCACCCCACCAGCTAATGGGACGAGGCTCAGGTGGGCCTGGGGCAGTGTGGAGACCCCCTGTGCTCACACTCCCACAGTACAGATCGGTGCTGTCAGTCCCATCCCCGCTGCGAACTGTAGGCGGAGTAATTTGCAGATGACAAATATCCCTGACAGTAAATATTTTTCCCACCCTCATCCTTCTACAAGCAGATAAGGTGGCAGCACTGTAGCAATACGGTTGCTGGAGGGAGACAAAGTCTTTGGCAGACTTAAAAGTCTATTGTGTCCCCGCAATTATTTATAGATAAAGAGAAGAAAGCCAATAAGCAGAGAATGGAGCTGCACAACTGCATTTGTTATGATGATGATGATGTTATCTCTCCCTCACACCCACACACGCACATCTCCAGTGCATGGAAACTCGCTGCTGGCAACAATCAAATCCCAAGCCAGAACAAGGCAGGACAGACTGGAGGTTTTACCCTCTCGGCACTGACTTGTGCCCAGCCTGTCTTCCCCACCAGCTGAACCCACCACACAATTCCTGTGGAATTCTCTGGAATAGCACCTGCAGGCCCCTCTGAAGGGGTCCCTCTGTTTCTGGCTGCAGTATGTGGTGATCTTTGTCCCCCTAAACCAGCCCCTCGTGGGTGCCTTGTGGTGAGGGGGACCTGGGGCTGCCTGCAGGGAGTATGGGAGTGGCTGGGTCCTCACCAGCTCATGCAGCAGGACCCCAGAATGTGGGTGCTCCCCACTGATGGCAGGGTGCAGGGGGATTCTCAGCTTTCGCAGCTCTGCATGGCCAGGACCTCCTCTCCCATCCCACACCACTACTGAGAACAGAAATGTGGGTGTTTGGAGGGATCTGGGTTTAAAAGACGTGGCAGGCAAGAGTGATGGAGGTCACTGTGAATAAGTGCATTTCTGCAACCAGTGGAGCAGAGACACCCTGAGTGAGAAACATTGACTGCAGTGTGGGAAGAGGTTGGGAAGCACCATGTTCTCCCTTTTCAGTGAGCACTGCAGGAGCTAGTGGAGGAGACCAGGGGGGGCTGGCAGGGCTGGACCCACAGAAGGCAAGAACAAGTTGAGGGGTCAAGACCAGGAGTGCCACTGGGTGACATGTGTGACACTGGGGCCCTTGGCCAGCCCATGTCTCCCCATGTCCCAGGGTGCTGCATGGCATGGTTTGGCTCCTGCTGGGGCAGAAGTCCTGCACCTCACCAGAGCGTGCACAGCCACTGCTCCTCCCCAGGGCTGGGGGTGCAGGAGGGGTGTGGGCTCCTGCTAAGTGCTCAGCCCTGTCTCAGTGGGACCCCCCACCCTGAGAAAGCCCCAGGACAAGCTCTCCAGCCGGTGAGATATTGCCCAAGACAGCGACTGGGAACCCTTAACTGGACTGGAGAGTGGGATGATTTTTCATTGCTTCCTCATAATAAGAGGACAGGAGTAAGTGACTAGTACAGTCCGTTCACTCGGTAAAGATTTATACAATCACTTCATCCAGTAATTGGTATTCTGGGGAGAGAGAGCGAGCTGCAGCTCCAGCATCCGCCTCTATTTGTTTTATCTCTGTCTTTCTCTTTTTCTCTCCCCTTTTCAGAATGAGTAATTCTGTCCCTCACAATCCCATTTAAACAGAGCATTTGCAGAGTGAATAATTAGTTACATTCAATTAGGCCTCACGCGCTCTCCCTTCTCACTTTGGGGGACAGACGTGCTAATGAGACGGTACATGCGTGACACGAGGGAGCGGGCACTGAGCACGCTGCACGCCAGCAGGGAAGGGTCAGCCCCGGGGGAAGTGGGGAGGTGGCCCCAGAGTTCAGCCTGCCACCTGGGGACAGTCCTTTGGAATCCATCTGGGGCCACAGGCTTCATGTTTGGGGCCAAAGACTTTCCATCTGTGGCCCACGTAACACCTTCTCCTCCAGCAGGAGCGGGATCACATCTGTCCCCAGAACTGGGTGTTCTCTGGGCTGGTGCCAAGGGAATGCTGCACAGCCTGAGACCATCCCACCAGCACTGTTGGGATTGCCAAGCCCTGAGAGGAGGGAAAACTGCTGCCATATTTTTATCTCCCTTATTAAACCTAACATTAGGTTTTAAGAGGAGCCTTAAATAATGTGCCACTGCCTGTACTGGCAAAGTTGCTCCATGCTCCAGCTGCTCCTGCTCTAGGATTTATGGCCTTTCTCATGCCGTGCTGCTTGTGTTCAGATAGTGGTGGGTCACAGGCTGAGGCTGCTCCCAGTACCTAAAGCCTGCAGCGGGCTCAGTGCTGCTGCAGCCCCACACCAGTGCTTTGGAGCCCGGGGTGACTCCGCTGCTACACCGCAGCACCCAGTGCTGCCCTGCAGTGTGATGGACCCCACCTGTGCATTTTACTGCCACAGCAGCGAGGCTCGGGGCACGGAGCTGCCTGCTGCAGGCAGCCCTGCCCGCATCCCTGCCTCCGCTGGGCATGGCTGTGCTGGGACAGCTCCTGCTGCGGGGGCCAGGGAGGGCAGCCACAGGGGAAGCGCATGCAGGGGAGTGGGGCCAGGTGTGCTGGGGAGGGCCTGGGGGCACGGTGGGGGTCAGCACAGCTGGTGGCAGCTCTTCCCTCCCTCCTCTCCCGGGAGCCTCTGCCTTGGGAGCACCCGCCCATTCCCAAAGCATCCTTCCCGGCACATCAGAGCTGGGAGCGCCGGTCCCGGGGGTGCCGGTGGGCGGCAGGGGCTCGGGGCTGCTCACTCACAGGGGCAGATAATCGCGTTTAATCACACGGTTTCGCCAGCGGTGGTTGGAGGGTGATGGAGCGCGGCCGCTCCCGTACGGACGGGCAGAGGAGCCGCGGGAGGGGGCCCCGCGCTGGGCAAGCCCATGGCCAGAGCCCCCCGAGGCCAGAGCCCTCCGAGGCCATCTGGAGCGGAGGCGGGACGGGGCGGGGGCGGGCGGTGCCGGTCCCGCCCCGCGCAGCCCGCGCCGGTCCCGCAGCACCATCTCCCGGCCGCCGCACGCCGCTGTCCGCGCTCCGGCCCCGGGCAGAGCCGTGCGACCGCCGCTCCTGCCTTCGTTCCTCCCACGGAGCCCGGCAGGGGCCGGGGTGCCCTGTCCGGACGCCAGCAGCCCCTGCTCCAGCACGGGCAGCGCTTCCACAGCACCCCAGACACGGGACTGAACTCTGCCGCGGGGATCTCACACCAGCAGCCCCCTTTCCCAGCCCTGGCTTCTCCAGCACTCAGGGAGACAGGGATCTGTGCTGGGGTCTTCCTGTCAGCAGTGACACCCTGCTGTGGCAAGGGCTCAGCAGGTGAGCAGCCACCCAGGTCATCGCATCACCTGGGCAGGAAGCAGGATGGGGTTCTGTTCCATGTCCCCATGCAGGCAGCCAAGCCTTGCTCCACCAGGGCAGCCCTGTGCAGGTGACCAGACCAGGAGTTGTAGTGGTATTCCCGTGGGGTGGTCGTGCCATGGTCCATTGCAGCATCACATCATTTGCAGTCAGGCCAGATGCCAGATTTCCTCCCCAGCTGGAGAGGGGACAGAGGAGATGGTGCTGTCCAGTCTGTGCTCCTGTCGGGGGCAGTGCCCTGCGCCTTCACAGCATCTCCTGCTCCGAGATGCGGCTCTCCTTGCCATCCTCCTGGGCCACAGGCTGGCCCCTGAGTAGGGTCTCCTGCACAGGCAAGACATTCTCATCCTGCTCCATGGGCTGCTGGGTATCTGGGTTCTCTCCGGGCTCCCCAGCCTCTATCTGCACAGGGGCAGGGGTCAGGGGCAGGCAGCTACATTCCCCCACTCTGCACCCACACCTTTCCACAGGCTCCTGCTACACTCCCTTGCAGGCCAGAGTATGGGTCCCTCCCAAATGCTCAGCACTTGCCAGCAGCACCCTCAGGTTGCCCCAGCCCTTGTCCTGCCCCAGCCAGGCAGCCTAGTTCAGCCCCCACCCCTCCTGCATTGCAAAGCTACAGCCCCTGCTCTGCTGCTGGCACATCCCCAGCTGTGCCCAGGTGGGATCCCGACCCACTGCTGGAGGGGGCTCTAGGCAGACTCACCTCCTTTGGCACTCGTCGCCTGGAATCTGGATGGAAAGAGGGACAGAGAAGACAATGTTCAGGGGGAAGTGCTCCTGCCCTGCAAGGAGCTTCCGGGGGTCAGAGGCAGGGCTGGTGCTGCTGCACCACAGGTCCTGCGGCTCACATTATGCCTGCTGCCACTGCCAGGCTGGGCAGGCTGGGGTCACAGCAGGAGCCAGAATGGACTCATGGGGCACCAGTGCTGTCACCCAAGAGCCGGCCCAGCTCAGGCTGCAGCAGTGCCAACACACCTGCTCCTAAAGGCAGAGCAGGACTCAGCAAACCCTGTCCTGCTGACATCCTCAGAGGAGCTTCCTCACTCTCAGCAGAGCTGCTGCTGTCCTCCCTGGCTCAACCCTTCACCCCTCTATGGCCCCTCCGGCAAAGGTTCTCCCTCCCTTGGCCAAGGCAGCAGTTCACATGCTTTAGCCCCTCACCTGTGTGCACCAGGCAGTAGATGCAGACACCCACGAGGCATGTGACAACTGCAGCTGTGATGGGGATCAGCACTGACAGCGAGGAGCGCCTGCTCGACTCTGCAGGAGGACACAGGTCAGTGAGGCACCCACGGGACACGGAGTCATGCCCCAGCCCCACAGGGACCCCTCATGGAGACAGAGGCAGAAAGGCATCACACTGGCCATGCACTCAGGCCTTCCTCTCCCAAAAACACCAAGCATGAGGCCAGCTCTTCTGAGTGCTGCAGGAGCTGGAGCCCTGGGGTGCTCTGTGCTTTGCACTGGATCAGCCCTGGGCACCAGGCACTTACCGCAGATCACATCCGAGGAGTTCGTCCCTTTCACCTTCACCACCAGCCCCTTTTCCTCACAACTGCAGGGAAGAACAAGACCATGTAACCATAGCAGTAACCCGAGCTCAGGGAATAGTTGGGGTTGGGCAGGCACCCAAGCTGCCCCAAAACACATCCTGCTCTGAGCCCGCCAAGCTCCAGTAGGGTGAGCAGGGGGACCCCCACCAACACAGCATGAGGGGGACAGCAGGTACACAGCAGGGTACCAACCCTGGGGCTTGGCCTGGACTTGCTGAAACTGCTGAGGATGGGAACAAGTTTAGGGACAAGGCATAGGACGGAGCAGACCTGTCCGGTCAGGGAAGCCCCCAGGGCTTGAGCACTGTAGCTATGACAGGAAAGCTAAGATAGGCTACAAGTGGCTCTGTGGGGAAGTAATTTCGGGCATAGATAAAAGCAAAGTGAAATCCAATGGCTGGCAGCTGAAGCAAGACTAATTCAGCTTGGAAATAAGGCTCATGTTTCTACCAGGAACTGCAATTAACCCTCAAGCAGCTTTCTAAAGACAGGGATGACCTGCCAGTTCATGGCATCCTCAAAGCCAAACTCCCCATGGAGAGGGCTTGTGCTTTGGCTGATGACTACAGGCACAGAGAGCACTGGGAGAGAGAACCTGAACAGGGCATGGGGCATCCCCATAGATCCTGACCCCTTACTTCCAGCATGGATAACAGCATGGACACCCCTGAAGGGACAAGCAGTCTGTGCACAGAGCAAGGGACAGACACAAGTCCCTGAATGTCTGCCTCAACCTCAGCCAATGCTGTCCTGGACCACACTGTGCTCCTAGCCCTGTTCTCTTGCTCTGGCCCTACACCAGCCAGATGCTGTGTCCCTCAGAGACCAGCCCAGCTGCCCAGTCCCCAAGGCCACCAAGAAAACTGGCAGCAGAGGATGTGCTCACTGGGGCTGGTGGGAGGACATGGTCTGTACTCAGACAATACCTTGTCCAGGGGTGGCACGGCTCGGTTTTAGACGAGACGTTGGAGAAGGTGCCTTCTGCACAGGGTTCACAGGGGGATGACATCCGGTCTACGGCCTTGGCTGCAGAGGAGCAGAGATGGCAGGAAGGTCAGCAGGGGGGTGAGGGCCTGAGGGGGCAAGGGGCTGCAGAGTCCAGATGTGCAGCACGCCCTGTGACAATGGCACAGCTCTCCCAAAGCCCTGCCAGGGGGTACCACGCTGGGGGAGCCCCCATTCCCTGAGGTCAGCGCTGGCAGGGCATCAGTCCTGTTGAGTGGGAACAGCTTGTCAGATTTACCTGCCACAAAGCCAGAGCCAAGCTGGCAAGGCTGGTTCTCCACGCAGGTCTGGCAGCTGATGTCAGAGCAGTGTGTGCCGGCCCGGCACTGGCACACCGTGTTGTGTGTTGCATTTCCTTTTATCTTCTCAATGAGGCCGGCATCTGGGCAGAGGGAACATGGATGAGGTGAGACACCAAGCAGGGGAGCCAGTCCCCCCAGTCCCCCCAGGTTGGGGTCAGTGGTCACAGGGAGCACTTACTGCCTTCACAGATATCATGAGGAGCACAGTGCTTCTCCTTGGTCCAGCTTGGCTGATAGTGCCCGCTCTCACAGGGGGCACAGACAGAGTCTTCTGTTTCATTGCACTCAGAGACCAGCTTTTCGCCTGCAATAGAGGCTGGTGAGGAAGGGACAAAGGGGCTTTCCCTCTCTCCAGACAGCACCTCTGCCAGCAGGACAGGGGAAAGCTGGCAGCTGTGGATGCCAGGACTGCTGCACTATTCTGCATGGAAGCCAGGGCTGAAGGAGTCAGCTCGCCTGATTACCACAAATACTGCAGGGGCCAGGTGGGGAGGGAGGGCTGTGGGGTCCCTCCAGCACTCCAAGGACTGGGAGATGACCTGACAGTGCGAGCAGCAGCTGGCAAACACCATCACAATTTTCTAGTGCCAGTGCCAGCACTCTCCTCAAAAAGCTGCCTTTGCCAGGGGGTCCTGTAGCTGCAAGAGCACAAACAGTCCCAAGAGAGCTGTGGCACATTTGCTGAGGTACAAGGGGTCTCCAAGACCACTCACAAAGTCCCAGCTGCTCTCTCACTGAGATGACACAAGGAGATGAAGCTGTCAGCATTGCTGGCAGTGAGGTGGAGGGGTTCCATCACACCTAGCCAAGCTTGCCCCGCTGTGGCCAGGCAGTAGGTCCTGGCACAGCCCAGTTGTGAGATCCCCAGGAAAGGGTTTCCATACCTGGACGACACCGATTGCAGCATCTGCCCTTGTAGATATACTGCTTATCAAAGCATGTTATGGCATCAGCAGGTTCCCAGCACTGGAAGAAACAAGACCTGTGAATTCATATCCAACGCTCCTGCACCACCGTGCTTCCACAGACACGTCTGCTAACCTGCACCCTGAGGTGAGGGCTTCCCCATGCTGCTCTTCCCACACCTCCACTAACCACAGACCACAGCAGCCACCCACGCTGCCTGATGCCATCTGTGCTGTCTTTGAAGTGGGGTGGCAGTGATTCCGGCAGAGTTGCTCCACATTTCCTCACATTTCCTACCATAAGGTGATTGCACATCACCCTGTGCCCCTGCCAACAATACTGCGGTACCTCACAGGGGGAGCAGTGATCACCAAGCTTTCACGCTCAGAGCACTGCCAGCCCCTTCCCAAGGCTGACACGCCGTCCCTGAAGGACAGGAAAGCCCCAGCCAAGCGCATCACCCATGCAAACTTTGCCAGAGCCTGCCCTTGCTCCTCCTGGCAGGGGACTACCTGCACAGGAAATGGTAAAAAGGAGGCAGGGAATGAGCTCTCGGGCTAGACAGCGTGCAAGAGGGCACCCGGAGCACCGTTCCTCTCACAGAGCCAGCCCCTCGCTGCCCATCCCTGTAGCCCGGCAGATCCGCCTGGCCATCCTGCGGAGAGGGACAGGGGCTCCGGCAGAGAGCGAGGGAGAGAGGGCCGTGCCGAGGGTGCCATGGACGAGCACCCAGCACGGCCGGGCACAGCCCACCCCCGTGGGCACCTCGAGCAGCCCCGGCGCGGGACAGCGATGAGGCTGCGGGGCCGAACCAGCCGCCCACACGCAACCGAGAAGTTAAAGAAGCGCCGGCAGCCGGTTCCAGCGTGCCGCCCGACTGGGGGTCCCAGCCGAGCGTCCCGGGGCTCGCCGCTGCCCGTCCCTGCCCGTGGGGACCCCCGAGCGAGCGCAGGGAGGGGCTGGGCTGCCGGGCCTGCGCCACCGGAGGAAAGCGAAAGCGCGTGGGTAGAAGACCTGGAGAGGATACCAGGCAGTCCAGACAGCTCCTCCGCCCTGGCTGGGGCCCGGGAGAGCGGCCCGACGGACCCGAGGCGGCAGCGCCGCCGGGTCCCGATCTCGCCATCGCGCACAGCCCCGGGGCTCCCCGGAGGGGGCGGGTGCGCCGAGGGGACGGGCCGGAGCGGCCGGAGCGTGCCCCTTCCATGAAAGCCCGGCGGGACACAGAGAGAGAGGGATCCCCTCCGCCTCTGCCCCTGTCCCGCTCCTTGCCCGATCCCGGCCCCACTCACGCCCAGCATCGCCGCGCAGAGCAGTCCCAAAAGCCCCAGCCGGTTCATGGCGCTGCGCCCCGACCGCCGCCGCCGCCCTCCTAAGAGCGCCTCGGTCCGTTCCCGCCCAGGAAGGGGCGTTGGGCCGCCCTGTCCGGGGCTTCCCCGCCGGCCCCGGCTGCGGACCGCTCCCCGCCGCTCCCCCGAGCCCCGCGCTGCCCGCCCGGGAACCCCCGGCCCGGAGCCACGGCAGCAGGCAGGAGCAGGGGAAGGGGCAGGGGCAGGGGAAGGGGCAGGGGTCGGCCGGGGTCCGTGGGAATGGGAGGGGAGCGCCCGTGCAGCCCCCCCGCAAGGAGCTCCAGCTTTCACTTCTTCTTTCCAACAGCAACTCAGAGAGGTTTTTTGGGTTTTTTTCTTATTTAGCCTTTAAGAGCCCCTGAGCTGTCGACCTGGAGGGCCCCCCGACTGTGGTCTGGGAGAGCCCCTCTGGCTGCAGCCCTGGAGAGCCCCCCAGGGCCGCCAAGAGCCCTGGCCTGTGCGGAGTGTCCCCGCAAAGACGTCAGTCTTGAAAGGGGAAGGGGCAACAGTGCTGTGCCGTCGCTGTACCTTCGTCTCAGTTCCCCAAAGTGGTTCCCAGCCACCCCCCAGGGAACTTCCAGGATCCCTGCCCGCTCCGGAGACGTTCCCGGCACTTCCCTTGGCACTGCGGTGGCTGCGCAGCGAACGGTGGCTCCCCAGCGCCCCTCGGTGCCCCGGTCACCTCGGTGCCCCGGTCACTTATGGCACTGCCGCCACACTGCCGCGATGCCGGAGCGGACACACCGCAGCAGCCTCCTGCCCGGTCACGGTCACGACCTCGGCCCCAGCCGGAGGCTGCTGGCCACCATCGGCCAGGTCACAGCTGCTCCCGGGGAGAAGGGCAGCGTGCTCGCCGCGGGCAGCGAGAACTGGGAACCGAGCGCTCTGGATTCCCCGGCCCAATGTCACTTCCCAGAACTGACTCACCCGGGAGCACGAAGGGTCCCTGGGGAATCTCGAGGGCAAAGGGGGCGGCTGCGGAGAGAAGGGGATTTCTGGCCCCGACTCCCGTGGGCCTGGCCTGGGAAATCCCCGCGGCGACGGGCACTGCTTGAGCAGGGTCTCCTGTGGCCGCGGGCTGTGAGCGCCCCTTGCTCCCGGTCCCGGGCGGCAGCGGGGCCCGGTGCTCCCGGGCGGCAGGGGCAGCTCAGGCGGGAGCCCCTACGAGAGCCCCGGTCCCGCTCCCCGCACAGCGGGGCAGAGTACCGGGGCAGCTGCTGCTCGGGGCGGTGCCGGGGCTACGGGCGCAGCACGGGGACGCCACCCCTGGAACGGGGCAGCGACACTCCGATCCTGGCCCTGCGTCTGGACCGATCCCGACTTCGGTCCCAGTCTGATCCCGACTCCGGTTCTGGTCTCGGTCTGATCCCGATCGCGGCCCCACTCTCACAATCTGTCCTGCTCTGATCCCCAGGTCCCGATCCTGACACCGGTCCCGGTCCCTTTCCAAAGCCCCATCCGGTCCCCGTCTGACCCCGACCCGTACTCCTGTCTCAACAGCAGTCTGATCCCGACCCCGGTCCCTGTCACTGTCTGACCCCGGTCCCGGTCCCTGTCTGACCCCAATCCCGATCCCCTGTCCCAGTCTGACCCCGGTCCCGGTCCCTGTCCCAGTCTGATCCCGGTCCCTGTCCTAGTCTGATCCCGATCCCGATCCCCTGTCCCAGTCTGATCCTGATCCCGATCCCAGTCCCTGTCGCAGTCTGACCCCGGTCCCTGTCCCAGCCTGACCCCGGTCCCTGTCCCAGTCTGATCCCGGTCCCTGTCCCAGTCTGATCCTGATCCCGATCCCAGTCCCTGTCGCAGCCTGACCCCGGTCCCGGTCCCAGTCTGATCCCGGTCCCTGTCCCAGTCTGATCCCGATTCTGCCGCCTCCCCCGCGCGAGGTCCGATAGCGCCACCCAGCGGCGGCCTGGCCTCCTCGGCACTACAACTCCCGGCCTGCCCTGCGGGGCCGTACCGCGGGATGTGCCGGGAGCCGGGGCAAGCGGCCTTTGCCTCGGCAGGCATGGCGGTACGCTGCCGCGCCGGAAAGCGCGCTACGTCGCCATAGCGACCGTGCTTCCCCCTCCTCCTCTTTGCGACGGCGCCGTGCGGTAGTGGCGGGTGGCGCCTTTGTCCTGGCGGCGGCGGCCTGACGGGGCACCGGGTCCGGGCCGGGAGCGGCGGTGAGTCTGCGGGTCCGGTACGCGGAGCGCCCGAGCGACAGGTTACGGCAGCGAGCCCCGCAGAGGGCCCGGTCCCTCCCGGCGCTCGGCTGAGGCCGGGCCGGGCGTGCCTCGCGGCCTGCGGGCGGGCCGCGCCTCCGCCTCGCGTCCGGGCAGCGCGGGATCACCGGGATTGGATGGGGCTGCTCCGCACCCCCGCAGCAGCCGGTGTGCGGCTTGAGCGGCGCTGGCAGCGCCCAGGCCCGGACGGAGGTAGGGGAAGCAGGGGCGGGAGCGGCGGCCGCCGGTGAAGCTCCGGCCGGGGGTCCCTCCCCGCTGCCCCGGGAGCTGCGGCGGGCCCGCGGCGAGCGGGGCCCGGGCGGGGCGGGGCGCGTTCTGCCGGCGGGAGGAAGGCGGAGGCGCTGCCCGGGTTACCGAGTGGGCGGCCCCGCGGGTGCCCAGGTGCGGGGGGCCGGGACGGGCCGTGCCAGCGCTGCCCCCGAGGGCCCTTTCGGGAGAGCGCGGCTCCGCTCCGAGGGAAGCTCCCCGCTCCCCGGCGCCTCTGCCTCCCGTGCCCGCTGCTTCTGCTCTGCCCCAGAACTTCACGGGGACTTGTGTCGTGTTTCGCTTGTGGCAAATGAGTGGCAATATCCCGCTCCAGCAGTCTTGCTTCCTTGAAGCTGTAGCGCTGTTAATAAACAAGTCTGGTTTTAAATATAAGATTTTTTAGAGAGATGTGGCTTTAATTAATTTCCAGAGGATTTGTTGGCTCGTGAGGTGCTGCGGGCTGTACTGTGGTAGGACCCGCAGTTACTGCACGGGGAATTGGCACCTTTAAACTCTGCCGGTGCCTCTCTGGCTGCCTGTACAACAAGGCTTAATGTGGCACTTAGGTGTTCACATGATGTAGAGTGCCCAGAGGTGGGACAACATTCAATTATTCTGGTCTTATGATCACTAAATGGCCCTTAACTATGTAATGTGCTGCGTGGTAAATGATAAGAGGCAGTGAATTATCTTAGATGAGAGTTCTGATTTACTGATTGTTTTGAAGTGGGAAAATAGCTCTGTTTTTCTTAACGTGGAAAGTTCTTGCAGCCTCTTCCTCAGACACCCCCTGCTGTCCCCACCCCTAAGGAACACAGCTTCCTTCTTACAGCTTTTTATCCTGAAAGTGAGATGTCCTGCCAGCAGCCACAGGCCTGTTTGACACCTGTTTGCCCTGTGTGCCTGTGCACTGCATCCTGCTCTGAATGGGAACTTGGGCTGGATGGTGCCTTCCATGTTTTATTGCCTCTTATTCATTTTGAGGGAATTTTGAAAGTTTCTCGACCCTCAACTGATGAGAACTTGAGCTGCGATAGTGGATAGTGCATTTGTGTAAAAAAAAAAAAGGGATTTGGTACTTCTCTTGAGGAAGATAAAACTCTGTGTATGTGCATGGACAAACTTGCAGGGGGATTGGGGCAAATATGATAGAGGAGATTAATTTTGTTGGATTTTGTTTTGGGTGTTGGGTTTTGTTTTCCTCACCCCAGATCTGGCAGTTAATTAAAAAAAGTTGATTAGATAGGGAAGTGTTCTCTGCAGGGTTTCCTAAAAAGGGGCAAGAGTGATGCAAATGTGAAGTTGATTGATCTTTAAAGGATAAATAAATACATTTTTTGTGTCAGATGTGGAGTAGATGTATTTTTCATGTCAGTTAAATGTTGCGAAATATTCATATAGAGTCGACTTACCTATTTTGACATTTGATTTATTTATTTAGAGAGGACTTTGAAATTGTATTTACTCCAGGCTACTGTTAGGGAGTATCTTGGTTGTAGGCATTGCATGATTAAAAAGAGAAGTTTCTGTTGATACACTCAATTTCATCATCTTTCTTTTTCCAAGCTTCTTGCATGTAACAAACAGAAAATCCCATCCTGCATTCCTGTAGGTGAATGTTTAGGAAGTAGAGCAACTTTATTAAATAATTCTCAAACTTTTAAGTTCACCTTGAAAGCTTCAGTGTTATTAATTTCTTTAAGCTTTATCTAATGGTGAATTTTAAACCAGAAAGTGTGAATCCTGGGGATGGTGTTTTTTGTTAGCTTGGCAGTGTTTGTTATGTTATTTTTTTTGCTGGGGTGTTTTTTTTTATTTGTTTGGGTGAGTTTGTGCAGTGAATGTTGCTGACTGCTCCAGCTGTGTGCAGGGGTGTGGGCTAAGGGAATGTGCTTTTTCTGCATGGGAGAGGTGAGGAAGGGTGCAGCATTTACCTGGGGGGGGTTGAATTCCCAGCTGTGGACCCGCCTGCTGTGGGAGCTGACATCTCCATGGGGACAAGGCTGTGCTTCTAACAGAGATGCAGATAAGGACCTGTGCTTTCTGGGATTGGAAAGCTGAGATTTCACATGTAGTGCAGTGATCAGGTGTGGTCACTTAGGAGTATTTCAGCACTATTTCCTTATGCCTCGTTCCAAGCCCTGCTGGAATATTTGGGTGCTGTTATGCAATGTTGCAATGAGTGTTTCCTTTCAGCTTATTAAAATGTCGCATAAATTTCAGTATTTCTTATCAGTGGATTGAAGAACTAGATGTGACAACAATGGGCATGTTGAAAAGCTTAAAGTTAAGGAGATTTAGTGGAAAATTAGTTTTATTTGTATCTTAGTTTGGAGTCAAACCGTTAAAACCTATCTGCAAAATAATTAGGTTTGCTACCTTTCAGTATTACAGAAAAGCTCAGCCAGAATGCTGCAGTGAGTGATTTTGCCCGACCTCTGTGTCCCTCGTATTAAGATTTCTCTGGAGCGAAGTTTGCGTCAAGCAGACCCAGTTGGCTTCTAGTCTGCAAAGCTGTTAAGTTTAATCTTGTTCCAGTTTAATTTTGATGTCATGGATTGAAATTATATGCA